AACTTACTTTTTGTTGAAAAATTTATTTTGAAATATTTTGGAAATTCTGAACTTTTTTTCAAAGCAATCGTACTGCTTTAATGCATAGAGACTAAATATCGAAGCGCGTAAGCGCCGCGTCGCTGTCTAACGCATAAGCATTGGTACGGAACCCATAGGAATGTTAACAAAATGTATACTCATTGTTAAAATCTCTATAAAATATCTGATAATTTGATGTGCATATGTCTAATGTCTAATGATTATTGTTGACCGCCAAATGTTATTTTTTTTTACTTTTTTTACTAGATCTCTGAAACCGCTAGACCTAATTTCATAAAATTTCATCAAATCTTCATCTTGATAATGAAAGTAAAATGTTTTTGAATTATTCAAATTGCTTCATCCCGATTCCCGAAATCGTCGACGAAAATTTGTATCTGAACACACACAAATGCACGCACACACACACATACACACACATACATCAATTTTCTCTAAGGTATGCCAATATATTCAGAAACCTTTGAAACGTAAAGTTATATAAAAATTTTCATTTTCGATTTTTGTGCGATTACTATAACTTACCCTACGGAAAGTTAATTATAAATAAATCAATTTATCACCTCCAGAACATTAACAATCGTCATTTCATTTCGAATCAAATTTCAAAAAAAAAAATAGTTGCCAAATTTCCACAAAATTGAAAAAGTGCTCCAGCATAGTCACAGTCTAAACGCATTTGCAAATAATTCTGTGCGATATTTTCACTTATACTGTGCTCAGCTTGGCGGCATTTTCACATTTTTCAATAATTTTCACAAAATTGGAAAAGTGCTCCAGTACACAAACAGTCTAAACGCACTTGGTAAACATTTGTACCAGAGTGGCGCTTAGACTGTGCTTAGCTTGGGTGATTTTTTGAATTTTTAGTCCAAAATTACAAAAAATTTTTTTTGAAAAAAAATTAGAATCAAAAAATTTTTTTTCCAAAATCAATTGTTTTGTTGAAAAAAGCAGAAAGTTCTTTGAATCATTTAAATCGGACGCTTAGTTCTCTCAAAAACAGCCATTTTTTTTAAATTTAGCTCTGTAACTCCGAAACCTCTGGGCCTACCTTTGCCAAAAACTAATCAGCACATCTCCCTATCAATAGGAATCGAATGTTTTTTAAACCATTCAAATCGGTTGATCCGTTCTCTCAAATTGGCTTTCTATTTTTTGCACTCTTTGCTCCATATCTCCGTAACGGCTGGACCTGCCTTTGCCAAAAACTAATCAGCACATCTCCCTATCAATAGGAATCGAATGTTTTTTAAACCATTCAAATCGGTTGATCCGTGCGCCCGAAAACGTGGACGAAAAAAAGCGGACATACAAAAACACACACACACACACACACACACACACACACACACACACAACCCACACACACACATCCATTTTTTCTGAAGTATGCCAAAATGTTCAAAAACCTTCAAAACGTCGAGAAATGTAAAAATTTTTGATTTCGATTTTTGGACGATTACTATAACTTACCCTACGGGAAGTTAAAAAAAAAAATGCC